CTGCTGCCGTAACTCTTACCCAACTACAATTTTCTGTTTACATGACTTATTCTATTCGAGATAGTTAACGCCGTGGAGAGTGTCTCTCTTATATGCCTTTATGCCTACCAAGGAGACCTGGGGACAGAGTGGTTTAAGCATTCAGCTGCCAACCAAAATGTTGGTGTTTCTAAACCACCAGCTAGGAAAAAGATGAGGCAGTCTACTTCTGTAAAGATTTACAGCCTTGGAAATCCTATGGGGCATTTCTACTCTGTCGTAGAGTGTAGGTATGAGTCAGACTCAACTCAGTGGCAATTGGTTTGGTTTGGTTTCAGGCATACAACCTAGCAGAATGTTAGCTACCTAACAGATCAATAGCCACCTGTATACATTACAACATTGTGATTTGATTCTTCTGATAATGCAAACTAAAACTTATTATGTGATGATAACCAAGGCAAAAGTACCATCTTACACTGATTTATGAACAAAACGAAAAGAATGGCATAGTTACTATTAACTATCCTGCTAGAATACTTTCATTTTTCTCTTGTTTGTTTCATTTTGGAGTTAACTAGTGAGAATGAAAGCCAAATTGTGTTGAAATTTTATAATACAGATTAAAGAGAAAATAATCCTGCAAATTATTTTTATAGCCACAATTATCCATAGAGAAATCAAAATTTAGTGAAATTAACTATTGTTGGTTAAGTGGTAGAGCAAGGATTTGAAACCAGTTTTATTGAATTTATATGTATTGTTTGAGCTAATCTGTGTACCTGCTTCTCCAGAGAGGCATAACATGACTTCAAGGTACATCCTATGAAATGCCTACTAGTACTGAACTGGAGCAAGATTTATATCTTAAACAATACACAAAGAAAAAAGTAAAACATAATTAATTTACCTGCATCTATATGTCAACAACAAATGAAATTAATTATGGCTATTAGATATTATACTTTAATTACTTTAAGATTAAAGTTTTAAAAGTCAAAGTACCAATCTATAGAAATGAAGAGGAAGTAGTAATGGAAAAAGAAATGAAAGCAAGAGAAGAGGATAAAAGGAAAAATTGTTGTGTAATCTGAGATGGTCAACTTCACTGAGAAAGTTTGATCTCTAAACCAAACACTAAGCATTTTCCATCTTGTTCTCTTGTGCCATAACCTCCAAATGTCTGTTAAGACACTGAAAAGACCCAGCATTAATTTTACAAAACTTTAAAGTGCTTGAAAGAGGAATTCCCTAAATTCAATCTACATATCAGGACCAAAAATATTTAGCATCTGGGGCAGTACCCTCATCTTACAGTTATGGATACATTCAGAGTTCTATAACATTATCTTCTCTGACTCATTGGTTCTGCCATAGTATATAGTATGAGTCTATAAGCTTAAATCCAGGAGATTTACAAACACACACACACGTATACACACACTCTGGAATGATCTAGAGGTGAACTTCAGTTAAGTTTTAAACTTTTCTTCTTTCTTCATATAAAAAAATTCCTTTACCAACTCCATTAAGACCAAGGTTGTAGAGTTCAAGTTCTGAGTATCAGGCCCTCAACAATACTACTTTATAATATGACTGCTGTAACAACACTGATTTTTTACTTCTTTGCCCAAAAGTTAAAAAT